ACGTCTATATATTAGAGCCCCCAGGCGAGGGAGGGTGTCCATGGCCCCAAAAATGTGGTTCATGTTGCATTATCTGTAATTACCTGTAATTACCTTCAAGTACCTATACTACGTAATTATAATTAAACATTATTTTGGTCTATATATTTTAATCAAAAATTTGGTTCATGGGCCTTCACCTGTTGCATTAATTGCCTGTAATTACCTGTAATTACCTTTACAACGCAATTATAATTAGACATTATGTTTATATATTAGAGCCCACGGAGTGTGTCCGTGGCCCCAAAAATGTGGTTCATGGGCCCCCACTTGTTGTGGTAATAACCTGTAATTACCTGTAATTACAGGTAATTACCTGTACATTACATTGTCTTCTACTCTGCTCGAGCAAGGGAAGAAACAAGCCTGCCGGCGGCGATGGTCGGGCCTGCGGCTCGACCATTTCTGTCACGCGTTTTGATGAAGAACATGACCGAATGATGTAGCGGGCCTTCGGCCCGCTTAAATCCGTCATCTTTGAGTTTGCCCCAAAGACTTGAGAAAGGGGTGTAACGGGGAAGCACAACCCACCCTTCTGCTTAGAAAACGTTTTTCGGGGGTAGGGGGAGAGTTTCCTTCCTATTTTGCGGATTTAGGCCTTTTTCTACAACTTATTGTTCACTATGGCAATTTTTAACTTATTTTCTTCGAAAAAGACCCTCTAGCGCCCAAACGGTGAGAGATAGAGCAAAACGGACGAAATTTTCGCCCAACGAGCGCCCAAGGTTACTTCCAAGTAACCCCGCAAGTAACCCCTTCAAAGATCATATTAAAAAAATAATTTTCCCAACTTTTTTGGCCTTTCCTGTTTTCTTCGACCCCCTTTCAGCCCCTTAGGGGTGGCTGGCAGGATTTGCCGTAGGCGGTTTGTTTTGTGGGAGTGAATCTTAAGATCCCCTGAAAATTTGAAGTCTCCTTCTCCTTCTCTTGTGGAACAGACAGACACACAGACAGACAGACACGAGGTCGTTTGCATAAGCCCGCTGGATAGCTTTTTCAAAGCAGAAGGGCGGACTAAAAAGCAGCTACATGCCGATATGAGAAATTTATCAACGCTAGAGTGGAGTGCGAATAATGACTCCCATACGTTTACCACTCGAAGCGAAAATACCACCTTTCAATAATATATTTTATTCCCCGCATTAAAATAGTGGCAGCGACTAAGGTAGCCCTTGTTTTCTGTGTACTTACTCCATGTATTCATTATTTCCTGCGTACTCAAGCAATTACGCAGTAAATAATGAATACATGGCCAAGTACGCACTATTTCCTGAATACATGGCCAAGTAAGCAGTAAATACTGAATGCCTTCATGTGCGCAGTATTTCCTGCATACATGTATACACTTGGGTTTCCAGAGAATTTTGAGAAAATGGCCCAAACACTGGTAGACGTAGGGCAAAGTGGGAGTGAGGGGGTACACCGACCGTGCCCGCCGCGGATTGGTTGCCGAGCTGCCAATCTGCAACTCGTGACGTGCAGCAAAAGGCAGACGTCATTAGACCAGAAATGTTGCCGCGAGTAGAAGAGGTACTGAATACCGACAGATTGGCCGACACCACCGATATGTGAGACGAGCGGTACACCAAGACCCACTACCACGCCATCACGGTCCACTATATTGACAACCGCTGGGAGTTAGTGAACCGCCCTCTTGTGATCGCGGAGTTTTCCGCAGAGTCGGCTGAGGCGCACAACGTAAGGGGGCACGTCGTGCTGGTTGGACGTTCCTCGCTCTGGCTCCTTTCCTTTGATCTGGCCTGGCCTGCCCCGCATTTCCTTGTCTCTTCTCACCTTTCCTATTTGCTTGAAAATGGATCGGTAAGTACTTAGTCATTTTCAATGATTGTGTTTCATTGTTGAAGGCGTGTGTTTAAATGAGCTAGGTGTTTTTTTTTTTTTTTTTTTGCCCTAGCACCTGTTGTACTCTGTCTGGCCTCATGCCGCATGGTCTCAACGTGGTCCAGGAATCCTTAAATCGTTAGTCTATGGGTTTTATGCTTTGTTTCCTTAACAACCTTCGCGAAATGCGTGGGTATTGGTCGCGATATCCTCTTACTTCGCAGGATCTTAACCTTTGGTCTGGCCACTCAAACCACGCTGAGAGGCTGTATCGTCTCGGTTCACGTTCCCCTTGTTCGGTTCCAGTTAACTCATTAGAAGTGATTATTCGATACAGCAATGCTTTTCTCAAAGGTGGCCCGTTCGCAGTTGTTTTTTTTTTTTTTACTGATGGACTCTGCTTTTCGAAAGTGGTCCTGCACTTGGCAAACTCGCTGAAGCACGCCGGCCTGACTACCGGCCCGAGTCCATGCGGTTACGTTTTGCTTCCAGTTAGTGGCTAACTTTCAAGGCATTTTCCTAGTTCAATTTGCGGTCTGAAACTGCCAGCTTTGAAAAGAGCTTTACTGCTGTAATAATGTGTCATCCGAAATTTGATGGATAGTTTGGGAGCCACTTGGCTTTTTTGGAAGCATTAGAATTCTTTATTCTATTTAAAGTAGATTGTTTCCTATCTGTTGTCCTGATTATTTACTTGACTTATTTCTTTCACGTCCTCGGCTGCACTGTTAAAAAAAATCTCGTAACTTAACAAGAAATTCGTTGTTAATTTTTATAGCAAGAGGGTTCATCGGATGATAACAAACAAATTCATCCCCAAACACACAACTTGTTTTGAAACAAAGAACTCATCATCGAACAAAATAGTTCATCCCCATCTACCAGTCAATTTAAAAACAAACAAAAAAATCATCTTCAAACGACAAATTAGTTTTGAAACAAAAAGTTCATCTGCAAACAAAACTTTGTTGTAAAACAATGAGAGAGATGATGAGACTTATCATCGGTAGACAAAATTTTTGCTATATAAATTAACGAGATATTTTCTGTTTGAGCACAACACCTCATCTTGCATGCCAACCAGCAGCCTTGTTTTAGAATGAGCTGCACATCGTTCCCATGTTCATCTGTGAACAATTATTTTTAACAGTGTGTGCAGTCAAGATACATCAATCTCTGAAGGTGTGTTTCTGTTTCACTTCTTCTGGTGTATGTTTAAATTTCAAACCGGTTATTTTCCTTTGCACTATCTTGTTCAGAGGTGCGGAGGAAGCACTTAGCCGCTATGGCCATAATGCACAGAACGCACAGAACCCTACTTCAAGTGAAGCGGCACTAGATGGCCCTTCAACTGCCATATCTGGGGATGGGTCTCAGCTGAATTCAGCCATTTCAGAGATGGTTGTGGCAACTGCTTAGTCGAGCAGTACCAGTGCCAATGGCACTGTTGTTAACAACAGCTACAGTATGTTATTCAACTCGTATCAGAATTAGTTTAGCCACTGCTGTATCTTCTTTTCTGTCTTTATTGATTTGCCTTTTTTTTCAGTGCTAATTGACACTGAGCAGCTGAAGAATGTTGTGTCTTCTGTTTTGCCTGGGATTGTTGAAGCAGCGGTTGTTTCCAAGGTGAAGCTGCCTTCGCCAGCAGCTATGATGCAACCGTCCACATCCACTAGTGCCCAAGGTACGTGTAGATTTTTCAACTCTTAGTTATGCTGCGTATTAGTGCTGTGGTAACATTTTATTTCTTTCCAGGAGCGAGCGGATCTCGATGCCTTCTAACGACAAAGTCCGATGTGTTGCGCTCCCGTTACACAAAGTTCGATCTGTTTCGCTCCCGATACACAAAGTCCGATGTGTTGCGCTCCCGTTACACAAAGTTCGATCTGTTTCGCTCCCGTTACACAAAGTCCGATCTGTTGCGCTCCCGTTACACAAAGTCCGATGTGTTGCGCTCCCGTTACACAAAGTTCGATCTGCTTTTGGCCGCTCTCGGGAGACCCAAGTTTAGAGCGCTACCGCAGTTTTGTTGTTGTGGCCTTCAATTTTTTCTTTAGAGTATGTTGTTCTTTAATCTTTTAGCAACAGACAGCAGCTTTTACTTTTTTTCTACCGGCAATATTAGCGAAAATATAAACATAATAAGACCGCGATGCAGAGCGCGACGGAAAGCAGATCGAACTTTGTGTAACGGGAGCGGAACAGATCGAACTTTGTGTAACGGGAGCGCAACACATCGGACTTTGTGTAACGGGAGCGAAACAGATCGAACTTTGTGTAACGGGAGCGGAACAGATCGGACTTTGTGTAACGGGAGCGAAACAGATCGAACTTTGTGTAACGGGAGCGCAATACATCGGACTTTGTCGTTAGGAGGCATCGATCTGATGTTGTAGATATTTCAGAGCTTGTTACATCTGGTGAAGAAGCTTCAGGTGAAGAATCTTCCAACACAAACAGTCAGTATTTATTTCAAATGGTTGTCTTGCTAGTATCAATTGAGTATGTGTAATGTTCAATGAAATATTTTCTTTTGCAGATAATCGTGGCTCTGGAGCAAGGGCAAGATCTCAACCATTTTCTGGTTCAGCCTCAATCCCGATGCCTGGCCCTTCTAGGACTCGCCATCCAGCTCGTCTTGCACTGCCTTGTGGTGTTCAAGCTCGCCTGGGCGAAGCGAGTAGTGGTTTCCAGAAACGAGCCAGACCATCAGCCGCTTTCTCATCTGAGAGCGACACGCCCTCTTCTGCTAGTTCCCTCCGTAAGCTTACTTCTATCTTTGATTCCTGCATTGTTGTTTGCTTTAGGTGTTATTGTGGATGTTAGTCATTTTTTCTATTGTTTCCAGGCAAGAAGAAGTCAAAATTCGCTGTTGCTCCATATTTGGTGAAGCAAATGAAGTCACTTATGAATTTAATGGGAAGCAAGTCCAAGAAATCAAACATCCAGTCTGACTCCTCTGAATCCGGTAAGTTCTGTGATTTTATCTTTCCTTACCTCTGTGGGTATGAACGGTGTTAACATTTATAATTCCTTACAGGGGCATCTTCTGAAGATGATGCACCGAAGAATGACCTCGCTGCTCAGAGCTTGTGCTTCATGTGCAAGAAGCGTCAGTGCTCCCAAATATTATCCTGCAAGCATGTGTACTGTGAGCCTTGTATTAAGAAGCAAAAGGCCTCTAAAAAGGTATGTATCAGATGTGGCCTGAAGTTCAGATCTTGGGAACCTCTCTATATTGGCTAATTGTATGTTGACTGTTTCATTCTCCTTTTCTCTATTTTTGTATACTATCTTACTTAATTCATTTCTATTTAATATTTTCAATGTGTTATTGTTTGACATCATTTCCTATTGACGGGTTTTGGTTTCTGAAGCCCTCCATTCGAGTTAATATCATTTGAACTTGAAATTTGACGTGGTAAATCTAGATTTGTTGCTTTTTAACTACTTCAGTTAATTTTTATTGTGGTATGATTGTTCCTATCAATACGATCTTGGCATTTGTACTTTTTTCTATACTCTATTTTAACCTGTAACCTGGTTAGGGAAACTTCTTTCTTATGATGTTTAATAAATGATCATCCCAGAGTCAATGGTTCTTTTACATCCCGTTGTCTTGGAGAATCAAAAGGGTCTGGTGTACTTGAAGCATTTAGCACTGCAGCTTTTAATAAAAAATGTGACAAGCTGTTTATTTAATCAAATTATCTAAATTGTTTAGTTCTTAAATTCAAAGATAAAGGCAAGAGAAATAATGGTTACTATACGGATACATTGCTGAGCGGGAATATATGGCAAGATAAAGTGGGTCAAAGGATAAACCGATCAAGGTTCAACTGCCTAAGTTTAACCATAAATGAATTGATGTTTTTAAAGAGGCAACTACATTTTGTGTAGCTAATGTGCCCTGATACAAATGCCCTTTCACCTTCATGTGGAATATTAAGTGTTGTTTGAAAATGTGATCGGGAGAGGATGAGCACTGAAGGAATAGAGAGATACATACACCAGCTTGCTATTTATCACATGCATACTTTGCTCACTGCAGCTTGAACACAATGTCTAATATATGCCAATAAAATACAATACTTCAGACTTGGCATGCTACAGTCAACCGATGTTAAATTACACTGACCCAGGAATCAAAAATAAGTGATAGGTAAATACAATTACAGATGCGAAATCACTAATACTTCAATACATATTTACAAACCAATTTCTTGGCAGGGGCATTGAATGAGGTATTTTACGAATAAGAAGAACAGAAGGAATCCTTTTGGACCACAACAAGTCGCAGGTCATTGGCGCATAACGAAACGGTTTCTCGTGTACCAGATTTTTGAGGTTCTCAGCTTTAAAATGATATAAAACAGTTATGACTTCTTTTCAGTTTTAGCGGAGATACGCGAGAAACCGTGCGCTTGGTCGTGGCTTTGTTATGGTCCGGGAGCAGACGTCGGCCGGGATTCCTCTTGTTCTTCTTATTCGTAAAATACCTCATTAGTAATGAAGATTCACATGAAATATGTCAAGCACAGTGGTAAAACCATATTCTAGCAAAACTGATCCCACACTTTGCAAAGCTTAGTGGGTCAATAAGGTGACCTAAATAATAACAAAACATTTGGGAAGGAAGGTCTCCCAACAAACCTGAGTCTAAGTGGAAGTTATCTTCAGGAGCAGCTGAGGCACAATTCATGCAAATAATATAACAGAGTACTCGGTACTAACACACCTAGGCAGGCTCAAAAGGAAATAAAACAAATAAATTAAAAAATTTGTGGGCAATAAACATTGCTGCCTTCAATTGGAAAGTTTCGTTCCCTGCTTCTAGCGAACTTTATTCGCCTGGGTTTTTATCTAATGCAAATGTGAAGATCAGGAAAGCAACATCAAAGAGTAAGAAGGATAATTATTTTCTTCAGAAGTAAACCAACGAACATTTCTTGTGGTTTATGGCACAAAAGACATACCAAAACATAGGTCAAAATGAAGATTATTGAGCACAAAGTTTCATGTTGGATGGGAATTAGAAGGAGAAACCACCATACACATCTTGAAAAATTTATAATACCACGTTAAAAAAATTTAATTGTTGATGGTGTCAGAATAAACCTGATGCAAAAACTACTGCAGTTATAATTGCAGTACTATAAAATTTAACCTAACCTAACTTAACCAAAGAGTTAGGTTAAGCAAACTTGTTTACTACCAAACTTTAAGTTGAAGTAATATAAAGTTCAGTGTACAGGTTTCCATGATTTTCTTGAATTTTAACATTGTTTTTAGGTAAGATCCATAGATTTCACACAGTCTGCCTATAGAAGGACAAAACCCGTTAGCAACGTAATGAGGTTGCCATGTTGACATACAAAGATACTAGCAGACGAATTTGGATCCTACAATGATCTGGTAATTTCTCATATCACTATTGCTGCCAGCGCGAACACGGTGATTAGCGATTTTTATGCAGTCCAGAGCAAACCGCGTAATACGAATAACAAAAAAAAAACGTGTCAATGGCAGACTGGAATTAGCTATTTGTTAAAAAAAGCTTTTGAATTGATTGTTTCCCGTTTGCTTTGCGTTTGCGCCGGCCAGCCACAGTATATATCTAACACAAACCCGACCTCTCTTCCCAAATATTGCTGCGTTGCCCCCGCTACCGGGATGAAATGAGCTGGGCCATAGGGGACCGCACTCGAGCCACCATGAACCGCCAAGTTCCGACACCGACGCCCACACGACACGAATGTCGAGCGTTTCTCTCGGTAAGCAACCACACTCATTGTGGGAGCACCTTAAACGCTTCTTTACTGACGGCTTAATTATATTCCGGTTGGACGTCTCAACATTTTCTAAAGTATTTTCGATGCGTACTTATTACTGACGGAAATAGCTCGCAAAGAGCTAGAGAGGAGTAGCTACCTCCGTGGCGTAGACCACCTAATAAGGATGTGGAGGGCCATTCTGCAAACGCTAAACAACGGGGGAAGCTCGTCTCCTGTGCGTCGCCACCAAGAGGACGTGATTGGAAGAGACGTGTACAGATACATGAGTGCTAGGTCTTGATAAGCATGACCCACGCCTTGCACTTCCACTTCTATCGTACTAGAGTCTAGATTAGATGCGGTGGGTCTATATTCTTGATATTGACTTTTTTCCTCGCCCATTTGATGGGGAGTGTCCCCAAATATGTCAAGAGATGAGGGCAGAGCCTCAGGGGACGAACTATGTATGAAACTCATTACGTGAAATAATCAGGAGAGATCCTTTTAGTATGACGTCTTGCGACTGAATGACGTTTAGGAGCTCGCCTCCTCCTTTTTATAGCGCCAGACCCACTCATAGCACTTTCGGCCTTTCTTTTTAGGTTTTGAACGGCTTCACCGCCATGTTTTTTATCGCTTGCTTTAAAATTTTCACCGGTGGCCACATCGGCGAGAATGTGACTTCCGGCGCGAGCTGCCTCTTTCCCGACCGCGACGGCGCCATTTTTAAGAAGAGGGAAAACGGTGCGGAACGGACCGCCCAACCACGAACCAATCCCGTGCCCTTTCTGATAGGAGCTGCCCGCATAATACTGGCCGCCACCGGCCTGATTAAGGTAATACTGCGTAATATGGTGAACCATCTTTACGAGAGTTGTCGAAAGTGACCACCAAGGTTGACGTTCCGAACTGAAATGGCATG